CGCGTGGGGGGGAGGTTTGTTAAAATGTCCTTCTTCCCTTTGGTAAATTATGTTGTCCCCTGAGAATTATTTAACTTTTCTACGAGTGGTAAATTTTATTTTTATCATCCCGAAGGATAGAAAAAAAAATTTTCCTCTTTTTTATTCTGCCGGATTTTGAATTGGGGAGCAATGTGGGGGGAAGGCACCTACCTTATGGACGGATGAACGTTTGTTATCATTTTACCTGATTGATTGCATGTCGAACGTTTTTAATCGGATTATTTTTTAAATTAACATTAAGATAGAAAATTAAACAAGTTATTTACACGTTTGATTTTTAATTACACGTGTAAAAATCGTGTCATTAGAATTTTTAAAAAAAACCAAACGATTTGAATGTTGGTTTTTCTCGTTTGAACGTAAAAGAAAAATCTAAAAGAGAGGAGGGAGAGAAAAAATAATTTTTTTTTTTTTCTAGAAATTTCGAATCGATTTTTTTTTGGGGGGAAAGGGGGGATAAGAGATTTTCGGGGAATAAAAAATAAAAAAAAAAAATTTTCAGTATTAATTGGATTATCGTCGAAAGAATTTTTTTTTTTATTTTTTCGGAAGGGGGATTTATTTACCGTTTTTTTGGATTATTTCCCACCCACTCACCCCCCATTCACTTCTTCCCCTCTCCCCTCGTGGGTGGTATATAATTTAATCTCGTTTTATCCATTTTTTTGTTAAAAAAAAAAAAAAAAATTTCAAAACGTACAACAAAATTCAGTAAATAAATAAACAAATAAATTTGTTATAAATGCTTCACCTGTTGTGTTTGTTGTTGTACATCTTTTGAATTCGAGTGTTTTCTAAAGGTACGATAAAAAAAAAAGAAAAAATTTTTATTCCCACGAGTTTTTTCCTTTTTTTTTGTATTGTTGGCATCGCCGAAAGAATATTATTATTTTTGCAAAAGATTTATCCAATTTTTTTTTTTTTAACTTTTAAAATTTTCTTACCTACCACGTTTTTATTAAGAGAGTAGAGAGGTATTTATAATGAGAGAGAGAGAGAGATTGATAGAAAGAGAAACAAAGAGAGTTAGAAAGGAACAGAGGTAGAGTAAAGGGAGAGAGAAAGAGTACAAAGGTATAAAAGAAGGATGGAATAGAGAGAGAGACACACACGAAGAGAAGAAGAAAGACAAGTAAAGAGAGAAAGAAACAGAGAGAGAGAGACAAACAGATACAAAGTGACAGAGATAGAGAAAGATAGAGAGAGACAAACAGAGACAAAGTGACAGAGAGAGGGACAAAGAGAGGAAGAAACAGAGAGAGAGACAAAGTGACAGAGAGAGAGAGACAGAGACAACGTGACAAAGAGAGAGAGAGAGAGACAAAGTGACAGAGAGAGAGAGACAGAGACAACGTGACAGAGAGAGAGAGAGACAAAGTGACAGAGAGAGAGAGACAGAGACAACGTGACAAAGAGAGAGAGAGAGAGGAAGCACAAGTCAAAAGTATTTTCTACAACATAATTACAAAACAAATTTTTTTTTTTTTGTTCAGTTACGCCTATGTTGTTTCCGATGGTCGTGGCACAGGTACAAATTAAAAAAAAAATCGTGGATCTCGTGCCTGATAGCAGTTAAGAAAAAAATACAAAAATGAGACTACAAGTATCTACCCTAAGGGTTAGTCGTCCATTACCAGTCGTCCAGTATTTAAAATATTTTAAATTTTTTTTTTTAAATATGTAAAAAAAAAAGGGTTGAAAAGCGAGAGAAAGAGAGAGAAAGATAGAGAGAGAGAACATCCCTTTTTTTTAATGGGTAATTACCATTTAGATTTTTTTAAAAAAAAAAATTATCTTCTGCTGATTTGCCCGAGGATCGCACAACTTGCCCCCCGGTATATGTGTCCAAAAAATGCACGAATTTTTACCCCCTCATGTTTATGACGTGAGAATTTTTTTTTTTTTTTGTATCGAGACACACACACACACACCTTCTGGGAATTCGTGAATTTTTCTTTCCAACCCCCCGCCCCCCACTTCCCGAGGTTTTTTATTTTTACTCCTACGAATCGGGGGGGAAGGAAAGAGTAAAAGTAAAAAAATTTTTTTTTTTGAAAAATGGTTAGAGGGGGGATAGGTAGGATAGCCTTTAAATTTGAGATTTTTTTTTCACATCGTGCGTGTCTTTAGATTCCGATTCGTCGTGGAACCAAAAAAAATTTTCTTTTTTTTTAAAAGATTTTTTTTAATCGTGGAATTAGATTATCGAAACAATTACGCGAGCGTGAATGATAAAATTTAAATTTTTTCTTTTTTTTTTTTTCCTGAATACGTCACGCTGTCGTACCTTAATAATAATAATAATAATAATAATTTGTATTGTTTTCTTCTCGACTACATATTTTTTTTATTTTATTGCCCTTTATCCGTCCCTGTTTTCTTATTTTTTTTTTTTTTTTCATAAATAAAAATTTATCCTTACGGCGTTCACGAGTTTTCTTTCTTATTTCCAACTCCGTTTTTTTTTATTTTTAATATCGCTTCTTTTCTCTCTCTCTCTTTAAATCCGTGAAAGCACATCCATACTTTCATTTAATACGCACGCACGCACTCACGCACTCACTCAGTGAAACAAAAAAAAAATTTTTTATCCTAACTCGTGTGCTCACATCATAAACGTTCTCGAACATTTACCATAACACTCCTTAGTTCTTATCAAATTTTTTTTTTTAATATTATAATTATTATTATCATTATTATCATTATTATTACAATATTAAATTTATTGCCACGTCATTTTTTTTTGCAATATTCACAAAAAGAAATTATATAGTTTAATATAGTTGTTTATATATATATATTTGAAAAAATTTGTAATGAATCATAAATAAATTTTCCTTCGAGGAATTATTTTTTTTAATAATAATAATGATAATGATGATGATGATGATGATGATGATGATGATGATGATAATAATAATAATAATAATAGTTGTACTCTCGCGTTAAATTTATTTAAAATAAAATATTTTTTTTGCGATGGTTCAAAAAGGTTTTGAAAAACTCCGTTAACTGCCTCTTTAATAATAATAATAATAATAATATGGATTATATAAAAAAGAAGGGAAAAAAAATGGCGGTCGGACGCGGCGGCGGACACCACCGCCGACACCACCCAAAAAAAAAAAAAAAAAAAGGTTATCTTGTCTTAAGGCACGTTAATGTCCTACATTACAAGTGCTGCGTGCTTTTTTTTTTTTTTTTGTTAAACATATCTCACTCAATTATATGTTTTACTTATTATAATTATATGTTTTAAAATTTTCTTTCTTTTTTTTTTTTTTTTATCTTTTTTGTTATGTTTTTCACCCACGAATATTTTTTTTTTTGTTTTGTTTCGGTTTCGAGAAGGATTTGTTGTTGTTGTTTTCGTGGAAGGTTTGAAGGATAATGTTAAAAAAAAAAAAAAACGATTTAACGGTATCACGCGACGATTATGTGACGACGGTTATGAATTCGTTCTGAAACCACGATCGGAAAGTAAAAAAAAATTTATTTACTCTATGACTTTGTCGAAGGCGTTGGGAAAAAGGGATTTGCATCGTTTACGAAAAAAAAATTTAATTAAATTTAAAGGTACGAGGGATACGAGAAAGAACAACAAACAACAACAACAACCGAATAAAACCTGAAAAATTAATTAAACAGAATCTTATAAAAAAAAAAAAATCCCCGGCGGTTTGCCACGTGATCAAGTCATGCCTCAAGTTTTGCCCTCAGGTATCGTAAGTATGGCGTAATACGGTTGATTTTTTAAATGTTTAATAAAGTGACGCTTAATGGGTTTCTGGCCGTGTTTTGGCTAAAGCGTGCCTTTTTCAGCTACCGTAATTTAATTCGGCATGTTAATTATTGGTTTTGATTCTTCTTCTTTTTTTTTTTTAAATATACTCGCGTTGTTTGAATTTTTTTTTTTTTTGAATGTAAAGAATGATGAAAACGTAATTTGTTTTAAAACCTTTTTCAAAAGAATTAATTATAGATGTTTATTGTTTAATTTTATATATCGTCTTTATTTAATATATATTTCTTTAGATAATTTTAAATCCGCCATTTTGATTTTGGTCGCGTACGGGGTGTGTGTGAGAAAATGAAAGCTTTGCTGTTTTTTTTTTTCTCTTTCTTCTTCTTCTGGTTGGGGGGGGGTTTCAATTTATTTCACGAGGAGAATTTCGTACGTTACCTAAGAATTTTAAAATATTTTATTTAGTTTTTCTTACGTTATATGAAAAAATAATAAATAAAAAAGAAAAAAAAAGGTCGACTTATTTTGTTTTCGAAGGGGAAAAAAGAATTGCAGCTACATCTATCGGATAATTTTATAACTAAAATAATAATAAAAACGCAACGTTGCCATTCAACATAGCAACAAAACTATAATGAAAAAAGAATTGCAGCTACATCTATCGGATAATTTTATGACTAAAATAAAATAAAAACGCAACGTTGCCATTCAACATAGCAACAAAACTATAATGAAAAAAGAATTGCAGCTACATCTATCGGATAATTTTATGACTAAAATAAAATAAAAACGCAACGTTGCCATTCAACATGGCAACAAAACGATAATGTATTATATTGAAACACGTGTGCTTCTGCTTTTGCTGGTGTTTACGTGAATGCACTCGATGTAAAAAAAAAAAAAAAAAAATTAACTCGGATTGAGAGATTATAATATATTAATATCGAAAAGAGAATTGATAATAATAATAAAATATATATATAGATAATACAACTCGGTCGAATTGATTAATTTTTTTTTTTTTTTTTTTTAATAATAACTTTTACATACATCGATAATAGAGTAAGTGTCAAATTTTTACTCTTTGTTTATTATCATGATTACTTTTAAGTTTTCAATTTTGTAACATGATTATGAAACTAATGAAAATTTTAATTGGAACAATCGTTTATCATTATTTTTTTTTTTTTTTGGAGATTTAGATTTTGTAAATATGTCAGATATAGCGGATTGGTTTAAAAGCTTGCCTTTTTTTACAAGGCATTGGCTGGGATTCACTGCGTTGTTTTCACTACTGGGAAGATTCAAAATAATAGATCCTCTTTATTTAATTATAACATACGATTCCGTCGTTAATAAATTTCAAGTAAGTTATTAAAACATACATGAAGTCGAATAAATTCTCTTTAAAAAAATTCTCTGATTTTTTTTTCGCTCTTTTTTTTTCGCTCTTTTTTTTTTTTTTTTTTTTTTTTTTTTTGCAGATATGGAGGTTATTTACATCAGTTTTTTTTTACCCAGTCGATGCCATGACTGGCCTACATTTTTTATTCAATTGTTATTTTCTCTATAATTATTCACTCAGATTAGAAATGTCCGTTTATTCTGGCAGGCCAGCCGATTATGCTTTTCTTTTATTATTTTCATGGATATGCACTGTGATATGTGCCCTCATATTTAAGTTTTACGTAAGTAAAATTTTTTTTCAAAATTAATATAAACTCGATTCTTTATCATGAGAGAGAGAGATTAAAAAATTATTGGGTTGGCAAAAAGATAATTACGAATTTTTTAAGAAAACAAAAAACGATTTATTAATTATGTCAAATTATTTTTATCTATTATGTTATGACTATTATTATTAGTGACCTTTTGACATTTTTCGGGTAGTATCATTTTCCTTTTTTCATAAAACTCTTTAGTTTTAGGAGCAAAAAACTGGTCCAATGCAGTTTTGACCTCATTGTCGTTTTGGAATTTTTGTCCATTCAAAAAATTTTTTAGGAATCGGGAAAAATGATTCTCATTTCGAGTTAGGTCGGGACTTTAAGGAGGATGCAGCAAAACATTCCAGCCTAGCTCCAGTAGTTTTTGTCCAGTGGCTAAAGATGGGGAGGGCTTGGCATTATGGTGGTGAAAGACAATTCCTTTGCTATTGGCTAGCTCTGATCGTTTTTCTTGGATGGTATCATTTAAATTTGTCAATTGTCCAATGTAAACCTCTGAATTTATGGTCTGACTTCGTGGCAGCAGCTCAAAGTTGACTATGCCTTTGTAATCCCACCAAAATGATAACAATAACTTTTTTGGTGAATGTCACTCTTAGAAGTTCTAAGGTGCCTGTTTCCCTGCCTAGACCAGGATCTTTTCCTCAAAAAGTCATCATAAACAACCCACTTTTCATCTACGGTGACCATTCTTTCAAAAAAGGGTCATTCTCATTGGTCATTTTTCAAAGGAAAATCTCCAGAACGGAATTTCGCAAACCAGTTTTGACACTGCCGTTCTATTAAGGTTCCATCACCCTACACGGCCCACAACTTTTTATTGGCTTGTGAAGCATTAACACCCTTCAGACCCTTCACCCTTCATGTCTGTACAAAAACGTAAACGTACTCAAAAAAAAAAATGGACAAATTATCTGTTGGTGGAAAATCCGCAGTTACTTAGTTGCCAACCCAATAAATGTGTTTGATAAATGTAAAATTTTCTATTATATTCAAATCTTTATTATTTAACAGTTTTTAATGGATTCATTAGTTATGACCGTTTTGTACATATGGTGTCAGTTAAACAAAGAAGTTATCGTTAATTTTTGGTTTGGCACAAGTTTCAAAGCAATGTATTTACCATGGGTTTTATTCGCATTTAATTTCATTATTAACGGAAGAGGAATGCTTGACATAATAGGAATAATTATCGGTCACCTTTTCTTTTTCCTCACTTATCAATATCCACTGGAGTTCAATGGAGCCACACTGTTGAGAACTCCACAATTTTTGTAAGTCCATGAAATGTGGATTTTTTTTTTTTTTCTTGGGATCTCTTTTAAAAGTTTCCGATTTTACTTACCTTTTTCCATTTTTTTCAGGTACAAATTTTTTCCAAACGAAAGAGAAACTTCGAGGTTTGGTCAAACACCGATAAGAAGGCCAACAAATCAAGATCAACAACCAAGAGGATCTGGTCACAACTGGGGTCAAGGTCAAGTTTTGGGGAGTCAGTAAATCAATCAAGGGGATTATTCAAACAAACTTAAAACTTGGAAAATTTCGTTTTTTTTTTTTTTTTTTTTAATTAAAAATTTAAGTAAAACCAAAAAAAAAAATATTTTAACATGTTTTGTGAAAATCTAATGAGATTTTTATATATATACATATAAAAAGCGTCGTAATTGAATGTATTAATTAATTAAATTTAAAGTTTGTAATTAAATGAATTAAATGTGTAGATAAAATATTTAATGATGATGATGATGATGATGATAATGATGAGAATAATGTAATAATTTTATTAAGTTTGCCTTTTTAGTAAAAAAAAAAAAAAAAAAAAAAAAAACAAATAATTGGCGAACAAAAAAAAAATTTTTGTTAATAAATCAAAAATAAATAATATATATATATAAACAATTAAAATATATTATTGAACATTTTTATTTATTATTTAATCATCATCAGGTATGCTTCATGCCTGATGAATAAGTTTCCTCTTGTTATAACCTATGACATCACCACGAGACCATATTTTTTTACCTAAAAACTTAAGTAATCTGAAGGCAGTTCAGAATTTTTCTAGTGTTAATTAAAATTCTAATTAAAAAATATCGAAAAATTTGGCTCTGAAGTATCAAAAAAACATAAGATCCAAGGAGGTATACATTGGATTCCCGCTTAAAATAAAATGTGTGCCAGGTAAAATATACATGGTCGTCCTACTTAGCGTAAACAGTAAACAAGGTCGACCTTGGTTGAAAAATCGTGACCATGAAAATTTTCACAAAATTGAAATGTAAAACTAATGGCCTTGGAATCAAGGTCGACCTACTTTAGAATAAATCGTAAACGTTGGATTTTCGCGCTCAAGGTCATTTTTAACTTAATTTTTAATCGAAAATTTTTTTCCGATTTATCCGTAAAACATAAGATCCAAGGAGGTAAAGGGTAAAATAAAATTCAATCAATGGATTTGCATTTAAAATAAGGAGTACAAAATAAAAAATAAATAATTAATATAAAAAAAAATAATTATATTACAATAAATTAGACTAAATTACAAAACTTTTGATACATGCATAACTTCTTATAACTAAATCACTAAATAAAATTATTAAAAATTAATTTAATAAGTTGACATGATGTAAACGCATGCCAACTTATTCAATTTTAATTATTATTATTATTATGGTCACTCTTAAACACGACAAGGATCTTATTCTGGTATGCTGCTTCTATTTGTCGTAATCCTCTTCCTCCATCTTTCCTGCTGACATACAATCTATCCACATCAGCTTTTGGATGTAACGCACTATTCATGGTTAATATTTTCCTTGTCCTTCTGTCTAGGTGCGTGATTTCTTCTTTTGTCCAGTCTACTAGGCCAAAACTATATTCTATTACTGGAACAGCTAATGTGCCGATGGAGTTTAACTTATTTCTTCCATTCAGTTCCGACTGTAATATAAGCCTCAATCTTTTAAAATATTCTTTCTTCAATCAAGGTTTAATTTCTTTGTTGGCTACCCCAAAATTTTCTTCAATCCCCAGATATTTGTATGTTGATCCAGGGTCCAATTCTTTAATAAGTTCTTCTTCTGAGTCTTCTATATTTTCTTCCATTTTAACTTTCCTCCGACAATATTAACTTTTGCACATTTTTCCAAACCAAATTTCATGTTGATGTCAGAGGAAAAAGTTTGTATCGTCCTTAACATTTTCTTTAGTTCTTCTTCGCTCTTCGCATATATCTTCAGGTCATCCATGTACAACGTATGGGTGATTTTCCTGCTTCCCTTGCAGAGATCCGCTCCACCCAATTGGGATAATCCCCTCAACCATGTGGAAGGCATTCCCGAGGTATCACTTTGGTCTGCCTCCCATATTACACATGTACATATACATACATAATTTAATACAGTATTCATGTTAGAGTGAATTTATATTCAGACAAATGAGAAACATTTGATCTTTCTGCGACTATCTACGATAATCCCAACAGTGAAAATTTCTTTCGTCTAATTGAAGATATTTTGTACAAAGGTTTAATTCTTTGTTCCAATCAGGTTTGGGTAAATTGTCCAATATTTATATTCTATGATGCCAACTACCATATGATTTTGGATTTACTCTCTGGCACTGTTCTGTCAATTGTAAATCTTTTTCCAATAGTTATTGATAACTTTCCAAATCCTAGTCGTTTTTCAACGACAAAAATATTTCTCTTCTATAATTACCGGTGAGATTTAAACCTTCTTCGTCGTGTATTTGTGAAGAACGTTTTTCTAATATTTGATTCATTATCTTTTTAAATTCTACTGCCTTTTTCTGTTTTTTTTTGCCTACCGATTTCTTAATGTTCTTCTGTCGTTCTTATTATGACTCTCCCGTGCATTTTGTAATTTCTTTAAAAACAAATTTTACGATTTTTATTTGAAATTAGTACGGGAAAAATTACTCACGATGGGAAACAGTAAAAATAATAGTAATATGTAAAGAACCATAGACGTAAATTTAAACTTAATTATATAGATGATAAATAAAGTGTCATTAGAAAAATGTATTTCACTTTAACGTGGAACTTATAAAAATATGGAGGCTTTTAACGTAGCCGATACATGAATATTTTCGTTAAATAATTTGTTTTATGTAAATTATTGGGTTGGCCAGTAAGTAACTGCGGATTTTACCAACAGATAGTTTCTGTTAAAGTTAGTCAACTGTTTTTACTGTTAGATAGTCAACTGGTTTGCGAAATTCCGTTCTGGAGATTTTCCTTTGAAAAATGAGGAGCACTCCGGGCGTCCATTGGAGGTTAATGATGAGCAAATAAAGGCCCTCATTCATTATGATCGGCATAGTTTGACAAGGGACGTTGTAAAGAAGCTAGATGTGTCACATACGTGCGTCAAAAACCGTCTGCGGCGTCTTGGGTACCAAAAGAAGCTTGATGCGTTACTTTGGGGAACGTTAGTTAACCGGGCGACTTGGTCTTGGGGATATGCTTCTTAAACGCAATGCGAATGACCCTTTTTTGAAAGAATGGTCACCGGAGATGAAAAGTGGGTTGTCCATGATGACTTTTTGAGAAAAAGATCCTGGTCTAGGCAAGGAAACAGGCACCTTAGAACTTCTAAGGGTGACATTCACCAAAAAAGTTATTGTTATCATTTTGGTGGGCTTACAAAGGCATAGTCAACTTTGAGCTGCTGCTGCCACAAAGTCAGACCATAAATTCAGAGGTTTACATTCGACAATTGACAAATTTAAATGATACTACCCAAGAAAAACGATTAATGCTAGCCAATAGCAAAGGAATTGTCTTTCACTATGATAATGCCAGGCCATCCCCATCTTTAGCCACTGGACAAAAACTACTGAAGCTAGGCTGGAATGTTTTGCTGCATCCTCCTTAAAGTCCCGACCTAACTCGAAGTGAGAATCATTTTTCCCGATTCCTAAAAAATTTTTTGAACGGACAAAAATTCCAAAACGACAATGAGGTCAATTGTACTACATTGGACCAGTTTTTTGCTTGTAAAACTAGAGTTTTATGAAAAAAGGAAAATGATACTACTTGAAAAATGTCAAAAGGTCACCAATAATAATGGACATTAAAAAAAAAAAAAGTTGAAAAACAGCAAAAATTAGAAGCGGAACAGAAACGACGTCAAAAACATCAAGTAAAATTAAACGGATATCCGTTATTTGATTGAAAACGTTTTCTTGAAAAAATTTTTAATTATTTTTTTTTTTTTTAAAGAGGAATATTTGGCTGCCGTGCAGCAACATTCGAAAGATTTCAAAGAGCATCACCAAGAGCATCAAAGAGCATCAAAGAGCATCAAATAATTTGGCAAAAGTGGCTAGGTTAAACAAAGCCGTATTGAATTATCATGCGAATGTGGAGAAAGAACAGAAGAAAGAACAGGAAAGAATCGAAAAAGAACGTATGAGACGTTTAATGGTCGAAGAAGAAGGTTACAGGTAGGTTGAGCGAGAAAGAGAGAGAGAGAGAAAACAATTCAAAAAGTTTAATTTAGTTATAATGTATGTTTTTCCTTTTTTTTTTTTGTTAATAGAAAATTAATCGATCAGAAAAAAGGTAAACGTTTGGCTCTTCTTCTCTCTCAAACCAATGAATACATTAGCAATCTTACAGAAATGGTTAAACAGCATTAACGTTTTGTTAACAACGTACGAATACGTCATAAAAGGCAAAGGAGTGTTGGCAAAGGTAACTTGTCTTGAGAGCATTGAAATAATTTATTAATTTCTCTGTCTCTCTCTGTCTCTTTCTGTCTGTCTCTGTCTCTCTCTCTGTCTCTTTCTGTCTGTCTCTGTCTCTCTCTGTCTGTCTGTCTCTCTGTCTCTTTCTGTCTCTCTCTGTTTCACTCTCTGTCTCTCTCTCTGTCTGTCTCTCTATCTCTCTCTCTGTCTGTCTCTCTATCTCTCTCTCTGTCTGTCTCTCTGTCTCTCTCTCTCTTTGTCTGTCTCTCTCTCTGTCTCTTTCTGTCTCTCTCTCTGTCTCTTTCTGTCTCTCTCTGTCTGTCTCTCTCTGTCTCTTTCTGTCTCTCTCTGTTTCACTCTCTGTCTCTTTCTGTCTCTCTCTGTTTCACTCTCTGTCTCTCTCTCTCTTTGTCTGTCTCTCTCTCTGTCTCTCTCTGTCTGTCTCTCTCTCTGTCTCTTTCTGTCTCTCTCTGTTTCACTCTCTGTCTCTCTCTCTGTCTCTCTCTCTCTGTCTCTCTCTGTCTCTGTCTCTCTCTCTCTCTCTCTCTCTCTGTCTCTCTCTCTCTGTCTGTCTCTTTCTCTCTTTCTCGTGTTTAACTTTTGGTTTTTTTGTTGGTTTTAGCGATGGAAGAATTCTCAGCGAACCTTTCATAAAATTACCTTCTAAAAATAAATTACCGGATTATTACGACATAATAAAAAAACCTTTGGATATCAAGAAAATATTTAATAGGATAGAAGATGGAAAAGTAAGCTGGGTGAGGGGTGGGAAGGGGGGGAATAGAAAAAAAGGAGGGAAAAGTTTCATTCTGACTCTTGTCATTGTTGTTTCAGTATTCGGATTTTGACGATTTGGAAAAGGATTTTACTCAAATGTGTAAAAATGCTCAAATATACAACGAAGAAGCTTCTCTAATACACGAAGATTCGATCGTACTTCAATCCGTGTTTACGAACGCGAGACAAAGATTGGAACAGGATGCGGAAACGGATGAGGATAAAGGTGATGATGAGAGAATCCCGTCGTTCGGATTTTATTATTTGTCGAATTTTATTTATTTTGGATTTTTTAAATTTTCAGACGGAGGAGACGAGGATGGAAATTCCGAATCGGAATCCGTTAGAATGAAAATAAAAATAAAAAGTGGAAAAGGTGGAAGAGGAGGAGAGGGAAGAGGAAGCACGAAAAGGAGGAAAATTCAACCAAAGTACACGAATAGCGATGACGAAGACGAAAATGATTGAATGGATGAGGAAAAAAGAAGAAGAAGGAGGAGGAGGAGGTGGAAAAAGAAGAAACCAAAAGGAAAAGAAAAGGAAAGGAAGAAGAAAATAGAAAAAAAAAAAAAAATTTTTCGGTCGAAATGATTTTCGCAGCACACAATGCTTGGGAAATTCAAGTTTTTCTTTTCGTTTTTAATCTTTTCTTTTGGTTTTTCGTATAGAACGGAAATGACGTCGTCTTTTGCGGGGGGTAGAGAAGATAAAAGAGAAAAAAATGAATTAGGTTAAGAGAAATAATAATCTAAAAAAATGCTATTTTTTTAAATTTTTTATTTATTTATTTTAATTTCATGACTCGATGATTGATTTTAGATAATTTTATTATTATTATCACTGTCGATATTGTCATCAATATCATTATTATTATTATTAATGTTAGTCAAAGTATAAGAAAAACTAAAATAAGTATAAAATGTAATTCAATAATAATAAGTCAAATTTTATTTTATTTTATATGAAAACGCGTTTCGAGTTAAAACAAAATATTATTATTATTAAACTTATTGTGATCGTGCAGAAAAAAAAATTGATTTGAACGCCCTTTGTTCTTGTATGATTTTATCGTTTTAAGTTTTATTGTAAATTTATCCTCTCTCCCCCCCAATGAGAAAATGTAAACTTTTTTTTTTTTTTTCAATTTATTTATTTATTTTAATTTTATTGCATAAAATTACATGATGAATAATTATGGAAAAAAAAGACATAAAAAAATTTAATTTTAATAAAAATATAATTTATTATTGTGAATTAAAATTTATTTATTTTTTTTCATCCTTAATGTACATCCTTATACACAGTACACAAATTTCAATTTTCTACCTAAAAAACATCGAAAATTTTGGCCAAATGTATCAGAAAAACATAATACCCAAGGAGGTATAGAAAAAAATAAAATTCAAACAATGGATTCCCGCTTAAAATAAAATGTGTGCCAGGTAAAATATACAAGGTCGTCCTACTTAGCGTAAACAGTAAACAAGGTCGACCTTGGTTGAAAAATCGTGACCATGAAAAATTTCACAAAATTGAAATGTAAAACCAATGGCCTTGTATTCAAGGTCGACCTACTTTAGAATAAATCGTAAACGTTGGATTTTCGCGGTCATTTTTAACTTAATTTTTAATCGACGAATTTTTTTCCGATGTATCCGTAAAACATAAGATCCAAGGAGGTATTTAGTATATACAGTACATATTAAGATATAAAATATAAGATCCAAGGAGGTATATAGTATAATAAGATGCATCGTTGGATTCCCGCTTGTAAAAAAATGTGTATGTATTGGATTCTCGCTTAAAATCAGGCGCGGAGACTTTATAAACGAGAATTAATAAAATACGAGAATTTTTTATACTCTTATTGGTAAAATACGTTAAAATGTATCAGGCAAACATAAGAAAATGGAAGTAAAGAGTAAAATAACATAAAAATAGGGGGTTCACACTTAAAATTAGGCGTAAAATTAGTGTGACTGGAGGTATTGTACTTTATCATAATCAGGTCCTTGGGACCTGATATCATTTACTTATTTAATATATTTTACCCCCATTGCTTATTATTATTATTATACATCGTTTTTTAAAAAAAATCATTTCATTATAATAATAAATTTATTTTATTATTGAAATTAAAAACAATAATAACAACAACAACAAAAACCAAAAAAAAACAAAAAACAAATGGTTCACCTAATTATTTATTTATTTATTCTTATTTTTCTAAGGCAGTTTAATAAATAATAATGATAATAATGAAGTAATAATATCCGCGGTTAACAAATATCACACACACATATATTTTATTTATTTATAAATTCTAATTGATTAACATAATAATAATAATAATAATTATTATTATTATTATTGGAAGACATTTTTTGTTTTTTTTTTTTAAACATCTAATATATATATATATAAATATACTTAATAATAATAATGATAATATTATCATCAACAATATCAACAATATCAATTATTAATATTAATAATAATAATAATAATAATAATAATAATAATAATAATAAATAAGGGAAGGAAGTAAGTTGATTAAACAAACTTTTATTTGATATTTTTATGCAATAGTTCAATGGAAGACATATCATACAGCCTCGTAAATTATTATTATTATTATTATTACATATTATTTGGAAGACGAACGAATTTTTTTTTTTTTTTTTATTAAATTTGTTTTTTATAATTTTTTTTTTTTTTTTTATTGAAAAAATATAAATAAAATGTAAATTTAAAAGCTCTACTAAGTCGTTTACCTTGTTAATAAGCTAAATATACAAAAAAAAAAAAAAAAAACAGAAAAAGTATCATCGTTATTATCATTATTATCATTATTATATTAAAATGGAAGACCGATTTCGAATGCTTTTATCATGGCCGTTCCGGAATCGTAAACTCCGACGACGCCAAATAAAACACCCAAAAAAATGACGAAACAATCGTACCAGATTGTATTTCTATCAAGCGAATCTCTTTTCAATTTTAAATGAAAATAACAGGGCCATATAAATGACAACATGGTACCGGTAAAACTACCTATGAAACCCATGAGTATAACAAAATGGGGAATGGATATAGCCATCAAAACTGTAAATATAATGACGCCGACTTTAAATGCGAGTCCCCAAACCTGAAATAAAATAAAATAAAATAAAAAATGGCGGTTAAACAAAACAAAAAATGTTAAAAAAAAAAAAAAAAACTGATTTATTTGAATACTTTTAATTCTCCATCCAATGCCCAAATAGTTGGAAAAAGTGTATCCGGTCGTTTTCTAAAAAAAGAACGTTCTAGAAGTTCGCAAGCTGCATAATACGGTAGAGGATACGATAGCAAAGCTTTCAAAACTAAAAAAATATTGACCAATCCTTTGAATCCGGGTGAATGTAAATTATTCGTTATCACCTGAAAAAAAAAATATCGATCGATCCATCGAACGATTTTAAAATGTTTTTAAAAAAAATGATAAATGATAAAAGAAAAACTTGACGTACCTGTTGCGTATCGTTTTGAAACGTTAAAAAACACATGTAACCGAAAAGACTTTTAAATATGGCTGCCGCTATGTGTGACCAATTTAACATCCATGAAAATTTCGATGGATCGATCATGCTTCCTTCGAGTGTCGGTAAAAATATTTGTGACGTGTAACTGAAAACTATAACTCCCAAAGATATCGGAAAATTTTCTAAATCGATCGACCATTTTACTTTACCTGTTGAACAACAAAAAAATAAATAATTATTTTAATGATTTTTAAAAACGTTGTGGTGGGTGAGGGTGTGTGGGTTTGGGTGTGCGACACTCACTCCATCCCCAATCCGGAAGTTCGAGTAAACAATATCCGAGTATGACGGCGTTGATGACGAGATGAGACATCGTACACCAAAAACTTAAAACCGATACCATTTTAAGACTTTTTAAGAATCCTAATGGTATGAGAGTGATACCGGTCAACATCATCCACGATCTCGTATCCATGCTTCCTTCCGGAAACGTACCGATCAATAAATCACCGCAAACGACGACGTATAATATGCACGTCATGAGCAGTTCGATTATTTGTGCCATGCTAACTATCCTCGCTCCCCATACTTTACCGAAACAAGCTTTTGCTATTGAAACGTAGGAATCTCTTACTCTTACCATTTGACCCGTTGATAGATCTAACTCGTAAAGGCAGTCTACAAGTATCCTACCGGTGTAGCAACAGATATGAGCTATGCCAATCATTGCGGCTATGGCCCAATATCCACCTCTGAGAACTGCGAAGGGTAGGGATACTATAAACATCCCCTGAAACCGTTAATATATCATTACTTCCCATCCAGGGTGATATATCGAATCACCGGAAACACTCACACACACACACACACACACACATACAAACCTGTATAGCGTTTGTCACGTTCCAGGCAGCTTGCCATTCGTCGATTTTATGTCCTTTTTTAATTCCACCTTCACCGAATTCGCTTTCGGAAAAATCAATCGATGCCATGCTAGGCCCACCTTTTGTTTGTTGATAATTTTGCTGTCTTGTTATAAAACCATCTTCGGCAACACCTGCAAACAAACAAACAAAAAAAAATGAAAATTTCTTTTCGCCATGATGATGATGATAATGATGTAATTTAATATCGAACCCGTTGCTTCGTATCCTTCTTCTGCAAGCGTCGCCATTTCTGTATTTTCACCCCGATATTTTCCATCATTTTCATTGAACCAATTTTGTTTGTCGTCTTGTTCGTTATCGACTTGTTTGTTTTTTCTTTTAAGCAATTCCATGCAGGGTGAATTGTCCGGCATATAAGCTTTAACGGTTTCCCAAAATACGTTTAATGTAGCTTCCAAAGATGGAATTTGAAAACTTCTAAACGCGTTCATTTTTTCCCACTTTTTTTCTTTTTTCTTCTTTACGTAATCAAATATATTATTATTATTATTATTATTATTAATGGAAGACTTTTATCACATACAAATTATTATTATTATTTTTTAATATTGGAAGACTTGGATTTAAGCTGAAAAAAAAAAATGAATTTTTTTTCTCTCACTAACGACGACACGTTTAGCAAAAAAAATTTTTTTTTTTTTTCTTTGATTTTCTTACCTTTTTTTTTTTTTTTTTTCTCCAGGCTAAGAATCCATTTTGAATTTTTTTTTTCTGTTGCAAAACGACGAAAAAATTTTTTAAATAATTTTTATTATCCTATCATCGATCGTTTTTTGGAAAACATTTTTGTTTCGATATATATATATAAATAAATCTAAAATATTTATAAATAATTATATTTTAAAACGATATTTTTTCATTTTTTTTTTTTTTCAATATTAAATTTATTACTCTATGAAAATCTGATATGGAAAAATTATAAAAAATTAAAAACGGAAACGAAACGAAAAAAAAAAAACAAAACTATTGAAAATTGTTATACTTATGATAATATTTCCTTAATACTCCAGTCAGTTGCTGGAACCGAACAGATCAATGAATCCCTTTGACTTGAGCTTACAACAACATCTATCGGATTTTATTAAAACTATTTTGAATTTTCTTTAGTTTCCTTTTTCACCACCCCCCCCTTTTTTTCGAATTCGATCCGTTAAAATCGTACCTAATTTTCCTTTTTTTTTAGATTTACGAAAACGGTCAGATAATTAAATATTTATCTAATGTTCTGGATAAAAGCTATCAGAGCCGACGTAAAAGAAAAAAAAAGAAAATCATTACCAACTTAACGAAAAAAAAAAAAAAAAACAAAAAGCGGACACGGTTGGTGGAAAATTTTTACTATCAAAGATGGCGGTGGCAACAAAAAAAAATTTTTTTTACATTTCAAAATCTCTAAGATTATATTTTTTAATAAAAACAAACGCCATTTTGTTTTTAAAAAAAAAGAAAAAATTATTTCATTTTCCTCTTATCCGACCACGCTTCCCCCCTCCCCCCTTTGGTTTGTACGAAAAAATTATTAATAATATTAATAATAATAATAATTTATTTACAAACTTTTTTTTGTACAATTTATTAATTAAAACAATTTTTTTTTTAAATAAATAAAATTGAAAAAAACTTTTTTGGAAATAAAAAAAAGAAAAAGAAAAACTAAATTTTTAAAACGTTTGCGGTTAGCAAATCGTTTTATATTAACAACAGCAAAAACAAAAATTTTTTCTTTTCTTTTCTTTTCTCTAATCGATTTTTACAGTCTATGTCGTTATAAATATATACATATTATCATTAATAAATTTTATTATAAACGATGATGATAATAATTTCCGTTTCCTTTCGTGGTTAAAGCATAAAAAGGAAAATGTTTTTTTCCGAAATGGATTTTAAACAGAGAGAGAGAGAGAGAGAGATAATCAATAAAAATAATCGATAAATTTTTTACTAAAATTCTCTACGTCATGATATCAATTATTATTATTAATATTTACGCGTAAGAAAAAATGGCGAAAACGTTTATAAAAAAAAAAAAATTCAAAATCAAATTTTTTATCGTTTAAACTTTCAATTTTTTTTTTATCTATCTGCTTCCACGTTAATAATAAAATATTTCCAAAAGAGTAAATTTATTTAAATAATGCTTTTTTTTTTTTTTCTAAAACGATTTTCTCTCTCTTTGGCTTTGTAAAAAAAAAAAAAAGGTTTTAAAGGGAAAAAAAGAAAAAAGGCGGGAAAAGTGGAATCGGAAAAAACAAAAAAAAAAAAAAAATTTACGTCGGAAGGCGGTGGGTGGATGAGGGGAGGAAGAAGGGGAAGATGATGGAGAAAAACGTTGTTACTTCCATTAAAAAATTTTACATTTTTTTTTTTTTTTTTTCGAGAGAGAGAAGGAGGAGGATGGAGAGGGAGAGAGGGGGGAGGAGGGAGAGAGAGGGAGAGGAAGGGAGAGAGAAATAGTGTAAAAAAAAAGTAAAATAAATATTGAAAAAGTTAATAAAGAAACGAAATGAAAATTTTGTTTTTTTTGTTTTTTTTTTTTTTTTTTTTTTTTGGCGAAAGCACGATTTAACCCGTAAAATATATAATATCCGACATTTTTATTTATTTTGAGCAATTTAAATATTATATAATAATAATAATAATAATAATAATAATAATAATAATAATAAACGGTCATGTTGCATAAACATTTCGACTATTTCCTTCGTACTTTTTTTCAATAAAAAAAAAAAAAAAATTTTTTTTCCTAGTCTCACATTTTCATTCCGTCGAGAAAAATATCTCATCCTGTCTGCCTTCATCCTGAAAACGAAAAAAAAAAAAAAAATTTTTAATAGTTTAAACGTCGACTTTTAACATTTACAAAAAAAAAAACATTTTTCTTTTCCCCCTTCCTCTCACCACTCCCACCTCTCCCCTACCTCCTCTTTAAATTCAAATCGCAAAAGGATTAAAATTATCATCATTATCATTATTAACTTTTCCACAATGAACCGGAAAAAAAAATAAAACCGATCGAAGTCGCCATTTTTTTTTTTCGTTTGCGGTAAGAAATCGAAAAATCAAATCGAAAGGTAAGATTTTGAATGATCCTCCCTCTTGGATTCCCCCAATTCGGGAGGAGGAAAGTGGGGGAGGAAAATGCTGGAAAGGAAAAGAAAAAAAAAAGGAAAAAAGAAAAGTTTTTTCAAAAATTTTTTTTTCTTCTTTCTTTTATATAGAAAAAATTGAAAATAAGTAATAATAATAATAATAACAATAATAATAATAACAATAATAATAATAATAATAGTTTAATGTAAAGGAAAATTCAATCGTTTTGTCGTTCATTTGGCGCTAAAAAAAAATTTTTTTTTAATTTTTTTATATAACTTTTTTTTGGAAAAAACGAAACGAAATGAATTGTTAAACCATAGCAAAATAATAATAATAATAATAATAATAATAATAATAATAATAATAATAATGGATACGAGTCGAATTGTTTTTCTTTTTTTTATTTCGAAGTAAAAATTTATTCTTTTCGTTTTTTTTATTACATATTAAATAATCATAAGTTTTTTTTTTTTTTTTTTTTTTTTAGTTTAAAGTTTGTATTTTTGCGACAAAAATAACAATACGACATAAACCAAAAGTTGACAGCAGAAGGAAAAAGGAAAAAAGGAAAAAACTAAAACATTTATCATTTATGAAAAACAACCGACGCGACTTCACAGTCACGTATATAAAAAAAAAGGAAAATAAAATTCAGAGTGAATTTGATGAAAATTTTATTATGGGAAAACAACACGCAAACGTTTTAACGATAGCAAAAAAAAAAAAAAAAAACAAAAAATCGAACGATGATTTTAAACGTTTAAAATATTTAAAATGGTGAAACCATCGCGTTCGTTAAAATTTTTCACAAAAAAAAACACAAAAAAAAAAAACAATTTTCACGCGATTCGTTTTAAAATTTTGGCTTTTAAATAACAAAAAAACTTAAAAACCCTTTCTAATTGTTTTTAAATTTATTTTTAATGATTTCATAGAGTAACAAAAAAAAACAAAAACACTCTCATTTAACGTTAATTAAATAATAATAATAAAACAAAATTTCTAAAATTTTCTCTCTCTCTCTCTCTCTTTTTAACATCCATATGCTACACATCCTTCACATACAAACAATTTGTTGTTGTTGTTGTTTGTTTGTCGTCGTCGTCATCACATCCGCCATATTTAAACCGTTAAAAAAAAAAAAATTTTTTTTAACGTTTATAATTATTTATTTTATTTATATATAAAAAATTCGTTTTTATCCCCTCCATGTTTTTTTTTTCCGAGTCAAAAAAATTTTTTTCATCATTTTCATTCAACGACTAATAACGCCATTATGACGTCATTCACACACAAAAATTCCGTGCAAACGTTTATGTAACGGATTTTTATTTTTTTTAAATTTGGCGCCAAAAAAAAAGAAAATTTGTTTTCGTTTTTTTGTTTAAGTACTCTGTGATGAAATTAACCGAAAAAAAAAAATAAACAATTTTTCTGATTGGTTAAAAAAAAGTGTGACGTAATCACAAAAAAAAGGAAAAACTCGCTGGGTAAGGAGGAAGGGGACGAGAGGGGGTGGAGCGAACGAGTGAGCGTGTGTGTGGAGGGGGGAGGAGCGAAAAAGATAAATTTTTTAATTGTTACTTTACAAATCGTACGTTTTGAAATCCGGATTTTTTTTTATTTCCTTCCAAATTCCTTCATTTAAATTTTAAATTTATTCGAATTTATATATATATATATATATATATATATATTAAAAATAAAAAAAATTCGAAATTATATACACACACGCACGCACACGCACACGCATATTCATTAGAAACGTAAAGAAAATTCTAGAAAAAATAATTCGAACGAATTTGAAATCGAAAATTCGTTATTTGAATCACGTTCGCGTCTCTCTTTCTCTCTCTCTCTCTCTCGATCCTCATCATGCACATTTATTCATTTGTATGTATTTTGTAAGATTTTACTTATTTTATAACCGTCATTTTTTTTTTTAAAAACAACCGCAAACATTTAATTTAAATTTAATTATAATATCGTGATAAAAAATTTACAGGAGTAAAATTAATTTTTGGAAAATGTTTTAATCTCCGTAATGAATATGTAATGCGAAATGAAAGAACAAAGTGAAATTTCCCAAAAGGGGAAAAAATGCGCGCGAAAATTATGATGATGAAAAAATCCGTTACGAAACTTTATATTAAGCTCATGAAAAAAAAATAAAACGATGACATTTTCCCGAATTGTTTTCAAACGTTTATTTTTTTTTTTTTTTTTTTATAATTGAATTCGAATGCGTATTCTCGATGTGGAAAAGTCATTTCGTCTGCTACGTTTGTTTTTTGTTGTTTGTTCGTTACATAAGTTATTACTTTCTATTCACGCGCAC